AAGACAAATTAACATATTATATCTGAGAAAGTTAAACTGCAGCTATCCAAATGCTAACTTGCTTTTCCATTCAAGTATTATTACCCAACACATTTTTATGCAATATACATTTATGTCAGTTGCACAATTTATGTTTTAAACATTCACATAAGTAAAGAATTGGTCTAATCAAACAAATCAACAATTCCAACATCGTAAGGATCCTCAACTACATCCAAAACTCCAATTTCAGGCTTTGAATAAACACCAGAAATTTTTCTACGGGTTGAACTCATAGGTGCTGTATCAGGTATTTTGAACCATTCCTCTGTAGAAAGCTGTTATAAGTAACAAATACTAATGTTAATATTTTTCAGATTAAAAAATAATAATAAATAAATAAAAAGAATGATAACACATATTAAAACATACCCCTGTTATTCCTTCAAGGAACTCTTTAACTTTTTTTTTACGAGCTTTGCTTTCAGATGCTTGACTTAAGGACGTTTCAAATTTCTACAAACGATGGCATTGTTTAACAATAAATGATAGAAAAATTGACGAGTTGAACGTTCTAACTCTTGTTATATTTTAAGCATTACCTGCAACTGAACATGATCCATATTTAGCAATTGTGCAAAGGTTTCATAAGGAACAGATGATAAGGGTCTCAAATCTACGTAAAGTTCAGTAATAAAAGAAATTATTGTAGAATGGGATTCTTTATGATACCCATCATGTAAAGCCTAAAAGTACATTGAAAAATAGAAATAATGGACTTTAACAATTTAATTTAATATTTCACAATATAAAGACAACCTCTCCGAATGCGCTGGGGATCATTCTTGTCTTCTAATATCGCTTATAAAATTATTATACAAATGTACACCACACTGACTTTAAGCTCATACTCAATCCCAAAGTGGTACACTTCGGGAGGTTGCCAAGATTTAACATTTGTTACCTGCAATGCAGCAGTCAATAAAGAAGTTCCAACAAATTCTCTCAACTTTTCATGTTTTATCAGATTCGGTAATATTCTAGCACATAATTGAGTTGTTCGTGCACATGATACTGTATCTTTGAAAGTCAAGAGATGGCACAAGCTTATCAAGAAAGGCTCAGTAATTTCCTAGTTGAAATATTAAAAAAAAAATCAACAAATACTTTTGAATGAATGACATGCCAATTAAAATTTCTCACCGTATAATTTAGCATATATTCTTTTAATGCATTATTATCTAATATAGATGATGTATTATCACCTATTAATAGAATAAATTATATTTATTAATGATCCAATAAATTATCTAAACAAGAAAGCGACATTTAATCTGGAAAGAAAAGCAATGTAGCATATAAAACTCGTAAATGATACCAATTGCTTGTTTTTTAGACACTGGCGGGAATATTTGGTCAAATATATCAACAAAAGCCCTGGTCAAATCCCTTAACACCTGTTCATTCACTATTTCGTCTGATATATCATTAGTAGTATCTTGTAATAATTGAACTCTATATCAAAAATAAAATAGAATAAAATAAAAATGATAATAATAACGTTAATAATTTCTGAGAAAAATATTAAACGTCAGATTGATGACGTTATAAAACATACGTTTCTGATGTTGAGATTTGAATCCCTTTTTCAACCAAAATTCGCCACTCTAACACCAACTTTTTATCCAGATATTTTAATAATTGTGGGAAGAACCCTGAAAGGGCTTCGGGTACTGGACATTTAAGGATGTAAGGCCTGACAGCTAGGGGTACAAGATCAAATATCGACAGTCAAGAACACATAACGTGCAATGTAAATTAGATACAGATGTAATAAATGTAATTTATGAATATACAATTGTAAATAATTATAATATATAAAGGATATTAAGCAGCATTTTCCAATGAATGTTATCAATACTTTCAGCATTTTCAAACAAAGATTGCATAATAGATTCATGTGCATTTGGAATGGAATAAAATGCTGGTCCAAATGTTGGTAGTCGACCAAGAATATGATAACTATTTAAAAGTAACAATGTCAATTCAAATAAGTCTTCATAAATATACATTAAAAATGAATAATTAGAATACCTGTCAGTCCTTATAGTGGATAACCATTTGTGTATCTGATCAAACATACTAGCTATCGTATAAGATTTTTCGTTAGAGCCGGTTGCTGGAATATTTATTGATTGTCCTGAACGTGTAAACATGAGATTAATTATGATTGTCAAACTAAGGATACTTTTGGTCAAGATACAAATAATAGTAAGTATAATATCTACCCACAATGCTTGCTTTATCCTCTTTGCTCAATCTCAACATTTTCTGTAATTCTTCTGGATACTCTTGCCACGATTCGATTTTCCATAGCTGATGAATAATTCTATACATGAAATGAACCAAGCTTTAGTTAAAAAATTTGATGTACTTAGTACTCTTTTGCACTATTTAATACCGTATCAGTGCCAATATTGCAAACAATATCGTTGGCACATATTGTTCCCATAATCCTGAATATACAGAACTTGAAATTGCCTGTTAAAATTAATATGTAATGAATTTTACACTAATACTTTGAACTTATTTATTTCAAAATTAAATTAATATTTAAAGATTGTACCTCCGGTGACTTTACAAGGAAAATTATCACTGTGTCTACCAATAATGCCAGCTTTAAAAGATTGAAAACGAGGATAATTAAGTACGCATTTATATGTAACAGTTTGAATTAGAGATGATAGTACTTACATTGTACCGTGCTGATTCATAACATGCTATAGTTTCATGAAGTTCTTTTGAAAATTCTGAATCTGATTTGTAGGTGCCTTTTTGTTTCATATCGATTACTAGAAAAAAGTGAAAGAATTTAAATATATAAATGGGATATGAAGAATTTAATAAATTCCAGATAAATCATATTGCATACTAATTGAAGACAAAAAATTTAGGCCAGAAGCATCACGAAATTGTGTTATTGAAGTAATAAAACGAGTTATATTAGGAGAATGCCATTCATTCATTATTGGTAACACTATTGGATCAAAGAGTGCCTTTTTTTGTTCTAACGGAATTTTAGAATAATATCTGAAACAAAACAATATATTAAAATAAGTAACAAATATGCTTAAGGAATATATGTTCTATACATACTTACATAATGCAAAGCAAAAATTTTTTAAGTGACACTTTTTCTTTTCTCTTAACCAAATTATTTCCGGTATCAATAATATTACTCACATAGCCTGCAATATCATTATATATATTCTAATAGGAAAATCCATAGAAACTTAGAGAATTAAGCTCGTATTTTTTGATTAATAATATGAAACATATAGCCAACCATTAAAAGATCGGGCATCAATGTGCCAAACTTTATCAATACTGCAGCAGCTCCACATCGTAATCGATAAACGGATTGCGGAAAAGTGGATGCAGGTGAAATAATAAAACCGGGAGGACGAAATATAGCAAACTGAAATATCTGTAGACACAAATGAAAACGTTTACTATCTAATGCCTAAACATATGAATTAATTAGCATAGAAAAACATCACCTTTTGTAAAACTTGAAACAATAGTCTCGAATCCATATTTAGCATATCTACAAATGATAGCATAGAGGCTAAATATCTATTTGATATTAATACGTCCTATTTATTAAATTACATTAGATTTATAAAATATGTAAATAAAAATTCTTGCCACGGCATTAAAATAGTTGCTCACCGGGTAATTAAGATTCAATAGCATTTGAAGCAAGTTATTCATTCCGTTCTTGATTTCAGCATAATTTGTCTTCGTAAGATTTAAATTTTTTTTTGAAATAAGCACTTTGAAAAAAATTATAAAATTAAGCAAATATAGTGAGGTGATCATACGTCATGGTCTTCATTAGATTTGATCAATTTTCCGACCCCAGTAACTATAGAATCCATCAATGTCAATTCCGCATCAAATATAATATAAGCTGAGGAGTCTACTTTACAGACACCATCAACTAAAAGGACAAATAAATGTGTTATATCTTTTGCAGACTGGAATGAATGTGGCAGCTGATGCTAAAATTGCCTGATGCTAAAATTTACTTATTTATTATGAAATTGTGGGGCTTTTTTTTTATAATCAGGCTAGAGTTTAGAGTTAGAGTGTTAATAAAAGAGTATATGTAGATTTTATAATAAATTTAAATAAGGTCCCAAATTTCAGCATCAACCAATTTCATCATAATCTGCCACAATAAATACAAGCTTTGGATTTATGATAACTTACCATCTAAATCCTTTTCTTCTAGATTTATATTTAACGTATTTTGGATTCTATTCACTATCCAAGTGAAAGTTTCTATTGGCCGCATCTGAGTAATTAACTTTATTGTTTCAACAAGTCTCGTGCGAAAAGCCAGAGCAAAAGTATTATATTCATTGCTTGAATCAAAATCCATATCAATGTAATGTGTAGTTTTATTATCGGCATCATCTTCTTGGAACAACTTTAAAATAAATTAATGCATCAACTTTTATCATCTAAGATCAGATATCAAAGCTTACATAATAAGGTATACTTTATTCTTACTATCCTAAGTCTCTCTGCAAATAGTTCTAAAAGCGTTAATAATAACTGATCTTGTTCTTTAAATGTCTAATTAAAGGTTGTATTGAATTATAATCTGATGCGAACCAATAATTGCTATAAAATAGTAAATAATAATTCACCTTAGAGATATGTGCATGGTGAATTACTGACTGCCAAAATATTAGTGCCATAGAAGCTATAAAATTTGACGGATGCTTTGAAATCTCGTATATCAATTCCAAATACCTAAAAAAGATAATTTATAATATTTTTAGTTACCTATACTTAAAAAAAAAATAATAATATATTAAAAAGTCAAACATCAATACTTTTGGAATTGCTTTGGTATTGTTGTGTTGTTCTTGAAACAAATATGTTTTTCACCGAATTTAACAACGGTCTATCAATATAAATCAATATCGTTACAACTATTATTGTCAGTTAATTAGCGCTTTAAATACAAGTGAAACATACATCAACAAATCGTTTAAAGTATATATAATCATTTTCTTCAAGCAGTAAATCTTGACTTGGTTGGATCATATTAAAAGACAAAAACAATAGCTCCATGCCATTTTGTTCATAAATAGGGTCAAAAACAAGTGCACGATCTTCCGGTGTTTGAAAGGTACGAGAAAAAATAGCAGTAATACATTCTATTGCAGCCTGATAATAGCATTAAGATATAATTGAACATAGTACTGTATTATTCAATGCCATATTAAATATAGTTCTATAACAACCTACCATTCTTATTTCATGGCAGTCACTTAAAAGATTTTCGCATGATACCAGTAGTACATTCGTTTCTGCAATAGACCTGTTGAATTGATTCACACCACAAAACCTCAATGGCTTAAATTAATAATTACCGAAACTACGAATAGATAGTATTATTACCTTGCAATAATCCACTCAACATATATTGCAATGGTACTTAATGTAGCAATTATTAGCTTCTCGTAAATTACAGACGAAGTCGACTGCAATATACTCTTAAATGTGATGATCAAATTAAGCACATATAACCAACTGTAATAATGATGATATATAATTCTACCTGACGTTGCCGTTCATTTGACAGTTGTTTCAAAGATTTTACCCATAACATCAACCAGCCTTCACTATCTGGTTCACCTTGCATTATTATCACTTCGTCTTTACGCGAGTTTGTACTATCTTTTTTCACACCATCAGGATATTTCTCTCTCAAGATACTGTAGCTTGTAATTATACAAGTCAAAGAATCTCGTAAATCAGATTCCTTTCCAAGATAGCGAAAGATCCTAAGGGTCAGCTCTTGTGTCGTTGGCTATAACAGAGCAAATAAACAAATGTTAATAATATTAGAGAAGAGAAAATCGAAGAAAATAATAAGCTTACACTAGATATATAGAGACCCCGCAAAAGGCTATTCATGTCTGTCCAACGTGTTGGCCATTCACGTCTAGCTACATCAGCAAACAATTTCGCGACTTTCTCCTTGATAAATTGCTTTTCAATTAAAATGTCATGAGTTCCCTAATTCAAAGAAAGTCAAACTCTATAACTTAAAATAATAATGACATCCCAGTGCAAACGAACAATATGAATTAATGCTGACATTTTGAACTAAGTTGATTATTGCTTGTTTAATTTGTTCCCGCTCAGAACCACCATAAATTCCATCGATCCATTTATATCTTATTGCATTTTCTAAAAGTTGCAGTCCAAAATGTCTAACAACATCCGATTGTCCATTTTCTTTTAGAGCCAATAAATGCCCAAAGATTGGCGCGTTTGGATTATCTTTAATGGAATTACAATACTGCGTGATCATAATCAATCCTTCTTTTTAATGAATTGTTCACAATGTTGATTATGTACAAAATAGAGTGTACGAATAATTAAACAAACCTGATGCGCTTCGAGCCTAACTTCATTTGATGCGAACGGACTATGAATTATATCCAAAGCTTGTATGATCCTTGAAAGAACTAGTTAAAATATTCGATACTTTTAATTTAATTATTCTCGTACCACATAAACCTAAAAATTTTATATTTTTGTGGCAATGTTTTTTTAAGAAAAAGGCGGTAAGTATCAATACCTTCAGGTTCCATGACGGAAAAAATCTGATCACCGATCAACTGGTCTGGTCCACAATTATAAAGCTAAAAATTGAGTCACATGATATTCATGTAAATTACAGCTATCCTTATCAGCTATAGTTTGTTTTTTTTAGTAAAACAATGCAAACGGCCTATGAGCCGAACGACTAAGACGAGCACTTAGTAGCTCGGTTAATAAAGCATCGGCTCTAAAAACAGAGCCGATGTTAATAACAAAAGCTACAATAGTAAGCTACCTGACACGAAAATGTCGGAGCAGTATTTTTTCTTGGAACATACACAATAGGACTGTTAGTGGAGTACTATACTCCAGAGTAAGCTAGGAATATAAACCACTCCATGTCAGTATAGTTTATATGTTACACCACTCCAGATTACTGTAAGGCAAATAGAAGGGTCTATAAAATTGTTGCTAATTCTACTCCGGATTAAAATATAGATAATTTATCGCTAATTGTTGTAAATTAAAATAAAATTTATTAAGTTAATTAGCATTGTAGCATTAAATAGATTGAATTTATTAATGTTTTAATAATATGCTATAGAATTTAATCCAGGAATAGTAGTGTGGTTTTGATGTTTACTATGGAAAGGTATGCTCCACACCACTCTGGATTACTCCATTATCATCATGTTATAACGATACAATTATGGTGTATTAAATGCACTTGCGTAGTATTTTCGATTTGTAATTATTAGAACGAATGCTTTTTTTTTCCTAAACATAATTTTTGTTTCCTCCTGCCCTTTGTCGGAACGAGTCACAAAATTTGGATGCGCCAAATTGAAACCTTGAAACATAGGAATTTACTATGATCACACTCATTTGGCAAAATATAGTAGACACAAGATAACCCAGGATAAGTTAATATAAAAGAACAGTTTTTTTTTACCAAAGATAATTTTATTTTGTTTTTCTTTTCGTCCTGCCCTTATCCAATCTTCAAATACAGTATGACCTGCTGAGATTGGAGATGCTGTGAATTAATTTCACGACATTTCACCAATTTAACCCCAATTTCACCGGTAGTGGTGAAATTATTTCACCCCTCTGGTTTAACATTTTTAGTTTGAGACAACAATCATAGTGTTAGAAAATATCCTGTCTAGACGACAACAGTCATGATATTTAGACAAACAGCCCTGCCGAGATGGCAATTCGCGCGAGATGAAAAAACCTTCACACCTGCGATTTCACGTGATTATCTTGAAATGATATGCACGAGATAAACTATTAGATTATCTAGGCCCCCGAATAATTATAACAGAGGTTATATTTGAGCCATAAAAAAATTTTTGGCCAATCAAATTGCTTAATTTTGCAAAATTTTGACCTCTGTTAGCTATTTTCAAATATGACCTCCATTAGTATTGTTTAGGGTCCTGATTATCACATTCTAAAAAATTGAATTTTGCGAGATATGATCTCGAGAGAGATACTAAGTTTATCCCGCTAAAGCTACATAATTAGTATAAATGTGCATTTCCACGAAAATAAAAGGTAGAAACCCATAGCTTTGTATCATCGTGTTATTATACAGGGCGATCAAAAGTAATGGAGCAGGGAAAAAATGGTTAGATTGCATTATTTCGTGCAATTCAAGACGTAACTTATTATTTTTTTAAATGGTATTTTTAATATTAAAATTTAATTAACGTTAAATAAGTTTTCTTATTGCCGATGCAAAGATAATCTCGCGTGTAACACGAAACACGTGATGCATAACCTTTGCACATTTTTAAGATGATAAAAAAAATTTCATCTTTGTGCAATGTTGAAACTTTTTGAAAACAAAGTTACGAAAGAAACGTAAAACCTTAGCCGAAAGAACTCGAATCTTGCGCTGCAAGAAGGATACTCCACAAGGACAGTGGGCCAGGACTTTAATATTAGTTCCTTCGTGGCGTCTTGTATTAATAAAAAGTGGTTAGAAACCACACACCCGCATTAACAGAAAGCTCCATAATGCGGGCCTGTGCAGGCTGCGCAGCCTGCGTAAATTCAAGCTAAAAAATTTCGCTAAAAAAATTTTGCTGTTAGATTAGGATTAGGTTTTACTATTAAGCTAGGCTAGAAAGAGCTTTAGTAGTACTAAAATTTCACAATGAAAACTTTTTGTTAGTGCACAGAAGGTGATTTCATTAGCTGCCCGATACGAGAGTATCGGAGCAGCATTTTGTACACGGAGCTTAATTAATTGATCGTATGATTGTATAGTTATGATTTATTGCTTGATTACTGGGAAATATTATGCAAATGTTTTATGACGAAATAACGTAGTTTTTTCATTTTTGTTATGGTGTTGTATTTGCGATTAATCGTAAAAGTGGAGTTTATGGGTATGATGGTTAATTGCGTAATTTTTTCGATCTGGTGATCGTTAGAGCCAGTGATAGTAGCTACGTAATTACGTCGTAAAGTTTATTATAGTAACGACAGAGTTTTTTTGATTTGTAATCTTTAGGGCATATTTAAAGGGGACGGGTTTTTTTTCCCAGACGAGATAATTTCTGTTTTTTCTGCTAACCCGACTTTGTCTGGTTTTTTCGTCCCGCCCTTTTCCACCCTTCGTAGGGTGGCCTAACGAACATCTGTGGAGCGATATTTGGAATCCTTGGCGTATTTGATGAGACGACGGTTACGGGAATGTATCGTTTTTGTGCGTACTACGTTCGGTAGGCACCATGGCATGATAAGGCGCAGCGAGGAAATGGCCATTGCTTAGTGGATAAGCCTGTCGGGACGACAGTCATATGAGTTTTTGGTAATGCGCGGCCTGTCAGGGTGACGGTCACATGAGTTGGTAATAAGTGGCCTGTCGGGACGACAGTCGCTTTTTTGAGTTTTTTGTACTGACCTGTCGAGACGACAGTCACATTTATTTTGAGTTTTTTAAGTTTGGAGTGGCCTGTCGGGACGACAGTCACATTTTTAAGTTTTTTGTACTGGCCTGTTGAGACGACAGTCACATTTATTTTGAGTTTAGAGTGGCCTGTCGGGACGACAGTCACATGAAATTTCTTGGTTGCGGC